AATCGATTGTGAAGGGAAAGTTGATATATAATCCAAATATATTTCTTTGTCATTGTGTAAAATAAAATAAACAGATTTCATAATTTATCGGCGTTTAATTATAAGAAAACAGTGAGTATTAAGAAATTTTTGCAATTAATCAATAAGTCGTGATTATTTCTTAACTGCTATTTTCATACTGTTTTTTCACTTAATTTATTCATCGAATTTCAAATAGGGACTTTTAATGGTCTCAGTTTAACCTCATGTTGGCTCGCATTAAATTTATATAGTATGAATAGGCAAAGAAGTATACTCATAGGTGGATAAAAGAATTACATCAAGATGCTCTGGCAAAAAAAGAGTATTTACAAAAATATCACCTTGTAAACACTCTTTATCGTATGTTTATTTATCTTTATAGTTTACATCGCGAAATGATCCCAGTTAATTAACAATTAAAAACAGGATGTACTGAGCACCTGCTTTGTCCAAAGTATAGGTCACCTCAGCAATGTACATCGACAACTCGCTAGAGGATCAAACTTCGTAGCAAGCTCTTAACGTTTAATTTACTGTGCAGCTATCCAATATTTTCGCTGAGACACATTATTAATTGCTAGTAACCTGCGCACGTCCTCTTTTAAAAGCCTACAGTTTATTCACCCTTGAATAGGTAGGAAACCGAACTGACCAGTTTGTATTCATGTTGAAGTTTAGTTAGATACTGTTTCCCTCGAGCTTTTATGACTTTCATAGAACAAAGTGTTTGTGTTAAATAACCTACGTAAATTAATTAGCAAGACGATATATATCTACAGCTTTGATGACAGAATTGTAAGGAAATAAGGGAGCCGTTATCAATAGTCCCTGGATCATTTGGAATATGAGACCCGACCGCTAACCGTCTATCATATTTCACACATAGGAATGACTTATCATTTCTACCTGAAGTTTGTGCTGGTAATGTTGTTCAGAAGAACATTGAAAACCTCACGACCAAACCAACCACGTCAGTGAACGAAACTTCATTGAAAACATGCTAAAGACGATTTAGCGGAGAAAACTTTATTTTCGACAATGTCGTTTACTTAAGCCGTACAATCGCATGTCATCAAATATTCAATACAAATAGAAACAATTATGGTCGTATTTAATCCATAGTAAAGGTCAACACGATCTTTAAACATTTTAAAGGGAGTGCATTAATGTTATTTAAACAGTCAAGCCTGTTTACACTGTTCTACGAAAACCACACTTTTGTTAATCTGTGGATGAAAAAGATGTACACAACAGAAAAATGTATTTCGGGTGCGGATTGCCATGTACAGTGATCGGACTCTTTTTTCCCCAAGAAATTTCGATAACCAATTGTCTTTTTCTGCCAGTTTGCACGGATTAAGTTAGGATATTCTCACCCAATTCAATATGACACATAGTTATGGTGAATTTTTGACTTTTTTACGCAACAAACACTCCGCACTCGCTCATTTCTTTTTGAAAATTAATTTCACTGATTTTTATAAAAGAGATTTTGGTTGACAAATTTGTATTCCATGCCACTTACCTCAATATAGCCATTTTCACAAGTTTTTATAGAAGAGGTCAGTCTTGGTTAATAGTGGAATCCAAGACTAACATTTCATCCAATTTGGGATTCGTCAGCATCTCAGTGTCGATGTTCACTTTAGGACTCGAACCCAGTACCTTTTATACCAAATCCCGAATGCTGAAAAGTCTTAAACAAGACGAAATTCCCTTCCTGGATCCCACTGTTAACCACCAGTGGTGTCTTCTATAGAAACTTAAGAAAAATGATTATATCGAGTAAATCCTCACAGGATACGCATATTTCATCAATACAAGCCTAAATAAAACTGGTTCAAATCAAAATATTTATTACGATCGTGACCATGCTAATGTCGTGTCATTTAGGCCAAAATTGAATATGTGTTATATATCATATTAGATTATATGTTCTTTGAGGAATCGATGTACACTAAGCAGTGAAACAGATATTCTTTTTCTAACTCATTTACATCTTAAAAGTATATTATTATTATTTCATTATTATAAATAATCCACACAACACTGAATTTATTTGAAATTATTGAATGGTAATGGTACTTACAAACTAGTATTATTGTAATTCATTTTAGCTAAAAATTGAATTTGCATAGTTGAAATCATGAGTCAATTGAAGCTAGACCACCGTGGAACACCTGGAAGCACTGGACGACCGTCTCGTCCTACTGCGGGACCCCTCAGCAGTGCGCAACCACGATCCCGCTTCGCAAGATTCGGACACAGGACCCACCAATCTCGTGCCAGAGCACTCAACCGATAGGCCACTGAGCCGGCGTCCGATGGTGTTAATGTCTAACTTCAACCAATCCATGAATTTACCAATGTGAGACTGTTATTTTCTTATTACAAAATAATTATGGTCATTATAGCCTAAGAAATTGAACAAATCATTTGCAGAATTAATTAATTGTTTAAGACAAGGTGGATTAACTCCACTGAAAGTACTATTAGCTTATCAGGATAAACGATTTGAAGTGGATCAATATTTTAATTATATAGCTATTTTCATTGTGATGTTATGTGATTGATTATTATCAACATATATCTTGGCACAAATATGCGCTAGCTCAAGTTGCTTTACTATATCACCACGACGACGTGAAATTTACAAAATTAGTAACAAAAGAATCGGAATCATATAACAGTAATGATAATAACAAAGACGTCTAGTTCCTAAACTAGCTAATACCCCAGTCAGCTTAACCGCTAAAACTGGAATGTCAACCTCAAAGACCTCCAGAGTTGATTTCTCAAGCCTTACTGCTCTCCTCTTCAACCTATATATGATTTTTTCGACCTTACTAAAAGTTGAAGGGGTCTTGGGCTGATTTCTCATTGAGGTTATTTGAGAATGATGGGTAACTTGAGATTAGTCGAACTGTTCTTCAAAATGTCCCACCCATCGGTCTATTTTCTTGAGCTGAAAATCCATAATGGTTCAAACTGGCAAGAATGCTTGAATCAATTTTCGCGCTAGTTAGCACATGGCACGCCTGAAGACTTGATGGAACTGACGCTTCTTGTGTGTTAATTAGGAATATTGCCACTGAGTTCTTGTCACCTCAGTCGGCCATGATCTAGTGTCACTGATATTATCAGTTATATTATAGCTTGTTCAGCAGCATTTGATCAGTGCTAAAGACTAGACATGGAGTTGGCCACTACTAAGTGACCAATGTGTGTGTTATCATTTCCCTGACCTTGAATTCGGTTATCATTTCCCTTAGTGGTTGATAGTTTATTTCTACGTCAATGAACCTACTTTACGTAAAACGGCCTGAGTATTTAACACTTATTGTTTTTCCACAAGTCTTTATTCATAGCAGAGCAGTGGCTTAGTACTTAAAACACTACTTTCAACAATTCAGTCGTAGGTTTGAGTTCACCGATAGTCACGCAAACATTATAATGGCCCAAAGCTCAGTAAATAAATCTGTACTTGGTAAATAAGCTGTATTAGATTATCCATAAAGAATTCTATCCATTATGTTGTTCATCTTTATTTATTTATTTAAACACATATATATTGGTACAAAAGGGCACCAGGTACATATGCGCCACACTGTTGTTCATCTGGTCGTTTGTGAACTTACCTCAACGGTTGAAGGTACACAGGTATAGAAAACACTGATAAAATGGATGCTCACATTTAAAAAGTACAGTTCTTTATTGTTCATAGTATCCAATCACTGATCTATAACCGAATCCGCCTTTAATTTGAGGGTGGAAAAAAATATCCGTTTTCTTCATTTACCATCATACGTATTTGAAGCTTACATTGGTCATTTTCAGTTAACCACACTTTCAAATTCCGTTTTCGCTTTCTGCACTTTTTAATTGCATAGTTCGTTGAAATCAGTCTTAATGATTTATTAGTTGGAGCACCGGTTAGTATAAAAGAAAATCTTATCATTAATTTAGTGTACAGTGATGTGATTTTATAAATGCGTTTCAGCTTGAAAATCAGCATAAGAATCGAATGAAATTAAAACAGTGAATGCATTCATACTAATTGCGGGTTTGTGGAAACTGTCGAATGTTAAGTAAATAACAAACCGATCGAAGTTGAATAACTGTTGTAAACCTGAAAGGACTGGACTGAATAACTTAGATAATTACCCAGATCTAACTGACATTCAAGATGGAAGGGTTGTAGCCCACAAAATGTAAATAGTCATTTCTATACTATTCAGAAATATTTGTCCCCATATCCATCCACATGAATTGTACGTCTGAATAAACCACACTGGGTTGCTTTAACAAGGTGATACCTCACTAACAGATCCATGAATTGGATGAAGTTATACACTTACACCGATGGGTGCTAACTCAGTGTTCGAAAGACTAAGTGTTCGCACGTGAAACCGAAGACTCCGGGTTCGATTCGCACGTGGGGGATCGTGAATGCGCCCTTTCGAGGAGTCTCATACTAGGACGGAACATTCGTCCAGTCTTATCGGGTTTTCAATGGTGGTCTAACTTAGATCGATTCATGATGTTAATATATTTTGGCTGAATCAGTTATATATACAACATTATTCTAAATCTTGTCAAACATGTGGAGCCTCTTTTGTTTTACAACAGTCGTCTAACTGTGCATATGATTAGTGGTGAACTAAATTTAGATGAATCATTTGTGGATATGATTCTAGAAAAAAGTTAGAAGACGAAGCCAGTCTCATATTTTTGAACTCAAGAAATATTTCTAATAACGGAAGCGGAGATGGGGCAGTTGTATTGTTACAAATAGGGGAGAGGAGTAACACGGATGTACCATAAGTTTCTGCAAAATGAAGTTTATACAAAAGTTCGCGTGTTTGTTTGACAGATTACGTATTCAACTTATTGAAAAACGTAAGTTTATTCAGATTATATGTATGGATAACACAGAAAAACAATCGAAGCATTAAATTAAATTACAAATAAGACATCGATGGAAGGACAACAAAATAAATGCATTGATATTACAATAGGAAAAAGTCATGATTTATTGAACCAAAATATATAAATGTCATTCTACTTTGTGTGTATCGTTTTCCATTTTATTGGTGTTATTGCTATTATTATTATTACTATTATTATTAAAAGCGTTCATTTTCTGCAATTCCTCCTGTAGGAGAACAATTCGTCTTCTTATATCATTTTTAATATATTCATTATTTTCCGTCACCTCTTCATTCTTTTGAATAAGCTTGAACGAAAAGTTGACAGATAGAAGAAAGGCAAACATACAAACAGTAGTAAAGCCGTAAAAATTACACTAATCAGTGTTTTTTGAAGGTTACGAAACCAGCAAAGATTTGTTACAGTCTAACAGGCAGGGAATTAAATGTAAATTAACCATGCACAATCCCATGTAGTATAACATTATGGATTATACTTTAGTATGTGTCAAAGCTAGTGATGCCACCTGAGCTGCTGAAATTGAAGTAGCATTTCAAGCTTGTGACTTATTGATTGAAAATCAAATGTCATGACCACAATTTCATCGTTTCACAAGTGGTTTTTCTGATAGTATCAGTTAAGGAAACTACGCAGACAAGTAAAGAGATACAATTAACGTACGTTCAAACCGTAGTACAACCGCGTGTATCATTACACCACACCTCTGTTCTGTTGGAATATCAAGATTTGTACTAGAAATTCGTTTGGAATGCATACAGAATGATTTAGTATGATGAAAAAAATTTAAAAAATAAAAGGTTTATTCAAATTTAAACTTGTTGTATCGAATACTATGTTTCTACATGTGGTAATAACACTTGGATTATCAATTTAATCTCTGTCTAGACTTAATAATGAGCAATAAGCCTAAAATAGGTGTTATTCATATGATACATCTTCGTTGCTAATGATTTGTATCTGATTCCTAGCAAATAAACCCAAGATGTGTCTACAACAAGCTACTGTAATTGTTTTCATTACGAGGTATAATCCAACTTGAACTTCATTAGAGTGGTCGTTTTGGATAAACGAAACAAAGTAATAATCTTTTATTCCAAATCTTTGAATCAGCACCTTAGTAACTTTATGCTTATTACCTGAGTTATACGCTAAAATATCATTGTTAAGTAGCAAAGAAAATTCTATTACGTGATATACTGCCACCAACAAGCAAATAAATATCTTATTTTCACTGCAAGTGGAAAAACTTGAGAAAAGTCAAGTGAACTTTTTATACTCCCCCAACTTAATCAATCAGGAGAGAAGAACAGAAATGGCCAAGTATTTTTTTAAATCACGGAGTAATTCGAAGTGAAAAATAATAACATGAATAACATTGTTGTTGGGGCAACTACCACAGAGGACTTCCACCAAAGATATTTCTATGGTTATCAATCGTGAAATTGGAGAGGATGATGGAACTTTGTAATCCTAACTCCAGTGAATAGGGGTGATCGCATTTCCTCACTTTCCTGGTGCTTTTGTAATAACTCATTTACGAAGTAAAAGTTTATTTACTCTGCTTTAGGCTATACTGTTTATGTGAAGATCAATGATATTACCCAAATGGCGAAAATAAAGTAGGTAAAGTGGGATGTGAACCTGAGACCTAATGGCCAAAACACAAGATTTTCAGGACCCTTAGGCATTATAAATATTCAGTGCTGAAAGAATTTCACATGTTAAATAAACGGGATGGGCTCGTTAATAATAAACTCCCATCTGTACAAAGGTATGGAAATAATGAATAATTATTGGTAAACTTAGCCAATGATAACTTACTTGAATCCGTATAATAAATCTGCATGTTAGCATTAAGCATAAAACAATAAGATTAGAAGCTTCTTTTAGTCCATCTGCTACGCGCCATATACTAAATAGATGGAATAGCATAAGACCAAGTAGTATAACATTGCTGACATCCTGTGCAATCCCAGAACAAGCTGCAAGTACAACACCACCGACAACTTCAGTCGTTCCATAAACTCGTCTAATTACATGAGGATTCGGATTCCAACCAGTAAACGAACCAAAAGGAAATGTCTTGAACATCCTAATGAAATTTTTTCTCTGTTAAACAGATTGAGTAAGGATTTTTCTTGAAAACAATTTACCACACTGCGATAAAGCTCATCAGAAAATAATGGGCCAAGTTTTAACGTCCCAAAGAATATGAAAAATACTCCTACAGCCACAGAAATTGCAGTTAAAGCAGTATTGGACATTTTTCAAGATAACGAATGCACCAAATTCCGAATAAGTAATAAATCTGAAATTTAAAGGAAAAAAGTTTATCGGACTTGTGATTTGGATTGAGACTACGACTAACTTTTTCAACAGAAATGATTTTATGCACTTAGTTACCTTTATTAACTAGAAAAGAGAGCAATGATTTGAGCAGGATGACACGAATTTGTTTGATTTAGTTTGATTCTTATCAGCTGCTCACTACTTTCTTTTAGTTCATAATCTTAATTTCAAATGACTGACCTTGATTCGCTTGATCCTTAGTTGTCGTTGACTTGTATTTTATTACTTGATTGCGTAACCACCTAGTTTCAGCTCTAAGCCTCCTTTTAATGCCCGGACTAATGTATCAGGACCTTCTTTTACATTTTTTTATTTCCAGTATTTTTTATTCGAATCTTTGCTACATCAAGCTAAATTTTCATCAGCTTCACTTCTAAAAAAATATGTTAACTTATTTGAAAATTAGTTTCAAAGATGTTGCGACTTGTAAGTAGCGTAACGAAATAAAACTAATTCATGTCTATTTGCTAGAGCTGTTTTTCTTTAAGGAATAATTCCAACATCAGGGAAAATCGCTTGACAAGGAACTTTGTTAAAAACGGAACTAAGAATAATATCTGGATTTACGGGAAATAGTTCTGTTTCCTTCACCAACACACTGGGTGTTATTTGCTGTTGCAAAACATTTGCAAACGATTTGCTGACCGTATTGCTAATTGCTATTAAAGTGCAATAAAACCACAGTAGGGTCTATTACGATTCACTTCCCGATTCATGAGTGAGGTAGTGACTTAGCAGTTAGAACACTTGATTAGTGACTATTAAGCCCTAGGTATGAATACAACTCCATTTTTTGTGTGAGCAACTGAGTAGTCAGTCACTTACGCCCAACGCAGAGCATAGTGTGTGTGTTCATTGGTCAAAGCAGTCACACACCCTGATCTCCGCGAGATGTAACTCTTTAAGGTGAATTCCAGAGTAGTAGAAGTAGTAACAGTAGTGGTAATAAAAAAGAATAAGTATCAGAGATATCCCTCAATAAGATAAAAATAAGTGGAATAAAAAAGTTAAGGGGAGTTGAAAAGTCTTAAAACCCAGGGGGAGACAAGGAATGGATGCACCTGCGCCATCCCAAGGAATTTTGACCCAATCATTCAAAGTCTCTGACCACCGAGTACGATAATCACGCGGGCCCAAACCAGATAGTCGACACCTGTTGACATGGCTCAGTCTAATTGTCACTGACTTTGTAGACTGGTACGACGTCTTAATTTGGCCTCTCAGCTTTCCTTCACCCTACTCCTACACTACAAAACGTCGCCCATAGAAGTAGGAGGTGGTTGAGTATTCGTAGCAAATATCCCAACAACCCCAGTTTATGAAGATTTATTGCCTCATCAATCGACCTGCCGTATTTACCTAGTGACCTATCTGTAACTCAGTGGCCCCAAAATACACGAGCAATGCTTTGGAAACATTTACGATCGAATACCGGTTGCGCCCCCAAAAGTCCTACTCACTGCCTTCTCGTAGCGGGGGTGTTGTTTACGAAAGTGAGAGGACAAAAAGCGAATCTCCGGCGCTTTAACCGGGTTGGTGGACACGGAGGGTTCATCTAGGGGAGTTGGAAAACCCTGATTCCAAACCAGTGGTGCACATGGGCTCCAGTATCCTGATGGAACGAATGGCGAATGAACCTGTTGTTGGTCACCGGCTACCATGGGACTGCATCTCCTCACGATGCTCCACTGCCTTGTGGATCAGACCTTTAGGTCAAAGGCTCGGGGTGTGGCCCCTAATAAAACCACCTGCTTCGGTTTGGGAACCCGGACAGTATCACAGCCCACACACAAATGACATGAAATGACGCACTACACTAACTACACTGCTCTCGTTCCTAATAGAAGAAAGACAATTTACATTATTATTATTGTTACTAATATTTACTACGTCGCTTTTTCACTCCCTTTATTCCCAAATTGTGTATCCTTCCTTTCCAACTTATGCAGTAGCTCGCCCATGGTGGAAACTCTGTCCTATCTAAACGATCTCCAGTCATTGTCTGGTTGAAAGTGAATGCTTCCACCGATTACGAATACTGAAGCAGTCTTTCTGAAACCACGTACGCCGTTCAAGCTGGCTTCCTTCAACGTTCGCACACTAATGCAGATCGGACAACAGATGGGGCTGGCTATGTCTTTAAAAAGTCATAATGTTGATGTTTGCTGTCTATCCGAGACCCGTATTCAAGACTCTAGTGAAGTACTACAAATTCGCTCTCCATCTGTCGCTTCGAAAAGCTTGTTTCACGTGCGCTTATCCGGGGACTCTGTGGCATCTTCGTCTGGTCTTGCAGGCGTTGGTGTTGCACTAAGCGCTAGGGCTGAGGCAGCACTAATCGATTGGATCCCCATTAACAGTCGGTTATGTGCTGTTAGATTAGAAAGTTCCATCAAAGTGAGAAGAAATCGGCGTGAGAAACGGTGTCTTTTCGTCATCTCCGCCTATGCCCCGACAGATTGCAGCCCGGATGCAATCAAGGATGAGTTTTACCACCAGTTAACAGTTCTTCTCCAGAAAGCGCGTTCGACAGATATTGTAGTACTAGCCGGAGACTTGAATGCTCAGGTCGGGCGTCTAGGCACAGAAGAGTCGTTTAGGTGGCCGATGGGGACTTGTTGGTGGCCGGACAGATAACGGGGACCGTATGCTGCAACTGTGCACAGACCACAACCTGTTTCTGGCTAGCACTAACTTCCGGCACAGTCATCGCCGGTGTGCCACCTGGCGTCCTCCCTCTGCATCCCAAGCCTGTACTCAGATTGATCACATTGCGATCAGCTACCGCTGACGTGGTTGTGTACAAGACTGCCGCTCCTTTTGGAGTACCTATCTGGAGTCTGATCATGCCCTGGTCTGCGCCAATCTCACCTTACTTTTCAGTGGCCGAAGGATTGACCACCACCAACGGATTGATATTAGTAAACTGGCTGCAACTTCTGTTGCAAGTAAGTATCGAGAGGAGCTAGCCTCTAGGCTAGCTACCACCCCACCGAAAACTATAGATGAGCATTGGTTGCATCTTCACGACGCCATGAAAATGGCGAGTAAAGCCGCTTGCGGCCTCGCGAAACGTCCAGCTTACAAGCACTGGGTTTCTTCTGGCTCCTTACAACTGATGGAAGTCCGTTGGTTTACTCCGGGTGACCGTGAGTTTGACCACAAACGAAGGCTGTTATGTAGTGAAATCGGGCTAAGCTTGCGTAAGGACCGGGAACCCTGGTGGTCGAAGCGTGCTAATGAGATGGAAGCAGCAGCTGCATCTGGTAACTGCCGGAAGCTCTTCCAACTCATCCGAGCCACTGGTAGCAAGAAGTCTGGTGTGAGTGAAACAATCTAAAAGGATGACGGATGCCAATCACTAACCACTCTCGACGTCTTGGACGATGGGCGGAATTTTTCGAAGGGCAGTTCAACTGGCCTGCTGCTCCGGCAACATCAACCAGTTTGTCCTGCCCACCATGGCCGGTGACGACTGATCCACCAAACGAGGCGGAAGTCCACAAGGAACTCCAACTCTTGAAACGTTACAAATCACCTGGCCCAGATGACTTACCTCCGGTTCTTTTTAAAGATGGTGGTGACTTTCTGGCTAAGGAACTGACTGCGTTGTTTGCAAAGGTTTGGGAGATAGAGAGTGTTCCAACATCATGGAATGAGTCAATAATCGTCCCTATCTTTAAAAAGGGTTCACGTTGTCCCTGCAATAACTATCGGAAGACAAGTCTACTTCCGATTGCGTCCAAACTATTGGCTTCTATCATTCTTCGTAGGTTGTTTAAAACCCGAGAACGATTGACTCGCGAGGAGCAGGCTGGTTTTCGTTCTGGTCGAGGATGCATTGATCACATCTTCACCCTCCGCCAAATGTTAGAACACCGTCATACTTATCGCAGGCCAACAATCGTAGTGTTTCTTGATATCAGGGCTGCCTTCGATTCGTTGGATAGGACTGTTCTCTGGGATTGTCTATTGAAGAAGGGTGTGCCTGAGAAGTTCATTAACATCTTAAAGGCCCTGTATACGAACACCTCAGGCAGAGTGAGGGCATACAACCACCTTTCTCCCTTGTTCCATTCGAGCAGTGGGGTTAGGCAGGTTGCCCGATCTCACCATTCCTCTTCAACTTTGCCATCGCTGACATCCTGGAAACAGCTCTGATGAATGCAAGTAATCGCGGTGTGGATATGTTGCCTGGAGAACGACTTCTCGACCTCGAGTATGAGGATGATATTGTCTTACTGTGCGATAATGCCCAAGGCATGCAATCCGCACTTAATCAGTTAGCAATCAGTGTCCGCAGGTACGGCATGTGCTTTGCACCCTCCAAGTGCAAGGTACTCCTACAAGACTGGCAGGATTCTCATCCTGTACTCACCCTGGATGGTGAGGAGATCGAAGTAGTTGAGAAGTTCGTGTATCTAGGTAGCTATATAAGTGCTGGTGGTGGCGTGAGTGATGAGATTGATGCACGTATAATGAAAGCCAGAGCGGCTTATGCCAATCTGGGCCATCGTTGGCGCCTTCGTGATGTCAGTCTGGCTGTAAAAGATCGGATCTACAACGCGTCGGTGAGAGCAGTTTTGCTCTATGCTTGTGAAACCTGGCCTCTCCGAGTTGAGGATGTCAGACGTCTCTCTGTGTTTGATCATCGTTGTCTCCGAAGGATTGCTGACATCCAGTGGCAACACCATGTTAGTAATGCAGAGGTTCAGCATCGTGTGTTCGGGCGCAGAGACGATAATTCAATTGGTGTCACCATCTTGAAACATCGACTTCGGTGGCTTGGACATGTTTTACGAATGTCGTCCCAGAGACTTCCACGTCGTGCATTATTTGCCGACTCTGGGACTGGTTGGAAAAAGCGGAGAGGAGGTCAGTGTATGACATGGTGTCGTGGCATGAAAGAGAGCTGCAAAGGGCTAGCTTCCGTTGGTCCTTCACGACTCCCCGGCTGGGGTCCGAGAGATGGTGCAACACAGTAGCTAGAGACGTTATCAGATATGGCTCAGAATAGAAGCCAGTTACGATCCTGCCGTAACCTTCTTTTACTTTCTACATAAAGAGTGGTTCTAACTTTCTTAACTGAAAGAGTCTTCTGGTTGTACATTTCAGTCCGCCTTATCTTTTCATCCCTTCTCTTCCTACTTTCATTATTTTGTGTGGCGCATATGTATCTGGTGCCCTTTTGTACCAATATATATATGTGTTTAAATAAATAAATAATAATAAATGATCGAATACTAATAACTTACGAGTATCCTATATTCAAAAGTCATGTTTCAGATCCAAGAAGTAGGACGAAACAAACTGCTGAACAGTAAACTCGTACTTTAGTTGGCAGACGAATATCTCGCCTACATCACAAGTGACGCGCGTTGGCGAAAGCCAGATGGGCTTTTAGCATTCATGCGTAGATTTCATTAGACAAAAGCTAATCAGAATAGATGAGACTCTCAAGATAAGTGAAGAGAGTGGATAACAGTCCTATCTTCTTCCGAGATGGCTTTACTAACAGTCTAGTTCTAAGTAACCCTCTCCTTTCGTTTTAGGACTCAGACAGCTGATATTAGCTCTTTTAAATAGCGACCGGATTGATGTATCTTTTTAACTCTTAGTCCTTGATAGCATGTTGCCCCCAAATGCCCTGGTACGGCCGAGAGTGGAGAGTCTACTCTCCCTCTCGAAATGCTCTCACATGGCCACGCGAATATATAGCCTCTGCCAGGGAAGTCCTACTCACTGCCTTCTCGTGGCGGGGGTGTTGTTTACGAAAGTGAGAGGACAAAAAGCGAATCTCCGGCGCTTTAACCGGGTTGGTGGACACGGAGGGTCCATCTAGGGGAGTTGGAAAACCCTGATTCCAAACCAGTGGTGCACATGGGCTCCAGTATCCTGATGGAACGAATGGCGAATGAACCTGTTGTTGGTCACCGGCTACCATGGGACTGCATCTCCTCACGATGCTCCACTGCCTTGTGGATCAGATCTTTCAGGCAAACGCTCCGGGTGTGGGCTCTCAAGAAAACCACCTGCTTCAGTCTGGGCACCTGAGCAGTATCACAGACCTCAAGCAAATTGAATGAGATTTGTGAGGCGCATATGTATCTGGTGCTTCCTTGTACCAATATTTATGTGCATAAATAAATAATAAATAATGTTGTTCAACAATGAATAAAAAATCTGAACTCAAAACAAGTGTCAAACAAACGATGAAAACAATTTGGGTGGTTTACACTTTATTTGCATTGGCAACTAGATTTTATGACTACAATAAGCGTAACTCAGCAGCTCATGTAAGTAACGTTTGTGGCTATCATAAATTCTTTTTATAGACATTGGAAAAAATCAGTATAAACGTATCATTTTAGCAATCCTTAGTGAATCATATATGATAAACAGACAGGTTAACGAACCTACAGCGCCAAGTTTGATGAAAAATCCGGACAGACAACTGTGAGGTGAAGT